GTGGGCATCTGAAAAATGAATGGAATAAACAATGCTTTTCTTCTTCTTTTTTTTTTGCAGTGGCTAACCAAGTCAATTTGGGTAAGATTATAGATAGGCCTACTTTACCTAGGCTCATTAATTTTTATTAAAATAGTATAATATTTTTAATCTGTCATTACAGTTCCTGAGTTTGATGTAGGAAAGACCTCTGTGTACAATTATGAAGCAGAGATTCTGGGAGGTCTTCCAGAGGAAGGTCTTGCAAGAGCAGGTCTGAAAATCCAAAGCAAAGTTTTGATCCATGCACAAGCTCAGGATAACTTCTTCTTGAAGGTATAGCTGTTTTATGAATGGACAATGCCATATCTGGAATTATTCTGTAAAAGGTACCATTACTAACAAACTACTTTGTAGCTCACAGACTCTAAGATCTTTGAGTACAATGGTGTCTGGCCAAATGATGCATACACTGAGTCTGCTAAATTAAACGAAGCCCTGGCTGCTCAGCTCCAGACCCCTGTCAGGTTTGAGTACGCTAACGGCATCGTGGGAAAAGTGTATGCACCAAATGGCATGTCCACCACCATCCTGAACATCTGTAAAGCCATCATCAACATCCTCCAGCTGAACATCAAGAAAACTCAGGACTACTACGACCTGCAGGAGGTATAGCTAGAAGTTTAAGACTGTATGAAGTCATATGTACATCCTAAATGAATTGTCTTTAGTAATTTTTACATGTGTCTTTTTTTAGGCTGGGCCACATGGTGTATGTCTTACCCACTATGTCATCACTGAGGACAAGAGTGCTGGTCGCTACTTCATCACAAAAGAAAAGGATCTGACCAAATGCCAGGACAAAATTGTAAAAGACATTGGTTTGGCTTACATGAAGAAATACCATGAATGTCGTGCTGTAAGTATGTTTGTTTTCATATGAATTCCGATGTGCTGTAAACTAAAGTCTGTTTTGACATTGCAGAGATCAAAGACCTTGAATGGTGTAACAGTGACAAACTACATCCTGAAGCCCACAGCTGCTGGTAGTACTCAGATCGAGGAAGTGAAAACTAAAGAGATCGTTGAGTACTCTCCATTTGATGTTCTCCAAGGCGCTGCCCACATAGAAGCTAAGTATGTACAAAAATAATTGTACAATTTAAATATTAATTACATATGTATGAAATACCAATTTTGTTTTAAGACAAAAGCTGAGACTGATGGATATCACAGCTGTACCAGTTGAACCCATCACTGCTCAGTATCTCCAGCGTGGGTCCCTGCAGTATGAGTTTGGTACTGAACTCCTCCAGAATCCAGTGCAGTTGCTGAGAATCGAAAATGTGGATACTCAGGTTAAACTGACTCCATTATACTGTATTTAAATTATATATATATATATATATATATATATATATATATATATATATATATATATATATATATATATATATATATATATATATATATATATTTTATTTTTTATTTTTTTAAAGATAGCTGACTTGACTCTGTTCATTGTAGATTGTTGAGTTACTGGAGCACCTGAAGAGCTATGATGTTGAAAAGGTTCATGAAGATGCCCCACTAAAGTTTATTGAACTCATCCAACTCATGCGCATGCTTGACTACAGTGCAATTGACACTTTGTGGACAAACAATAAAGAAAAACCTATTCACAGGTAAAAATACCACATTTAAATTTTTGTTACAATTGTTAAATTGTATTATTTACAAGTTTATTTCTGTATTTTAGACTCTGGATCCTGAGTGCTATCCCTGTTCTGGGAAGTCATGTTTCTCTGAAGTTCATCAGGAATCACTTACCATGGACTGCACAGGAATCATTTACAGAAGCAACGAATGCTTTAGTGTCCACCTTCCACATGGTAACAGCTGACCAAGCTGCCATAAATGAAGCTAAGGAGTTTCTGAATCCCATTTTTGAGAAGGAGAAGAGTATGGGAGTGAAAGATTTCAAATTCTTCATTTACCGGGACATAGTTATGCTTGGCTATGGTACCCTGGTTGCTAAACACTGCGTGGAAGAAAGGGATTGCACTGTTGATCTGGTCAAGGTGAGTCGTTCGTGATATGTAAAAATACAGCACACTAAAATACTAAACAGAGTTGGATGCTTAATCATATTAAATTTTTTCTCATAGCCACTCCATAACTATGCAGTTGAAAATGCAGCTAACCCAGAGAGGCTTATCATTGCTCTTAAAGCTATTGGTAACGCTGGACATGTTGGAAGTTTGAAGACTATTCAGAAGTTCATCCCTGGGATTGGTATCGCTGCTGAACATCTGCCTCTGCATTTGAAGATTCAGGCTGTCGCTGCACTGAAGAACATGGCAAAGAAAGAACCTAGGATGGTACATACTTAAGACTGAATAAGATTTTGTTTTTGTTTTTTTATATGTACTTACTTTTTGTATTTTGTCATCATTAAGGTCCAACCAGTTGTCCTGAGTCTTTTCAGAAACACCAAGATTGACTCTGAGCTGCGTATGATTTCTGCTGCTATGCTGTTTGAGACAAATCCCTCCATGGCTCTGGTGAATGTGATCGCGGCCTCTGTGCTGAATGAGCCCAATATGCAGGTCGCCAGCTTTGTGTACACCTACATGAAGGCCCTGGCCAAAAGCACAGCCCCTGACCTGCTTTCTGTGTAAGAGCAACACTATTCTGGCAACACTATTCTGGGAGCTTTTGTTAAATAGGTGAAAGCTATCAAACATATTCTTGTCTTTCAGTGCTACTGCCTGTAATGTGGCTGTGAGGATTATAACTCCGAAACTGGGCTCATTGAATATGCGCTACAGCAGAGCCCTGTATGTGAATGCCTACCAAAGTAAGTACACGTGGACCTCTTCTCTCATCACAGCCTGACAAATCAAATGAAAAATTGTTGTGTTTATGCCTGTTAGACAAGTGGATGATGGGAGTGGCTGGAAGTGCGTTCATTATCAACAACGCAGCCAGCATCTTTCCCAGAGCCATGGTGGCCAAAGCGCGTGCCTATGCTGCTGGGGCTTATACTGATGTTTTAGAGGTACAAAAACATTTGTAAAAGACAAGTCTTGCTTGTCACACATAAACTACAAACATCTTATTTCATCTTTCAGTTTGGGGTACGGGCTGAAGGACTCCAGGAGGTGCTTCTGAAGTTTAATGAGTATCCAGATACTAAAGACAGAATTGCTAAGATGAAGAACATTCTCAAGACGGTATGATTCCTTTGTTATTTTTTATTATTTAAGCCTCACAAAAAGCATTATTTAAACATATCTTTTCCTCACAGCTCAATGACTGGAGGGCTGAAGCAACCCCCAAGCCTCTGGCCTCAGCTTACATCAAATTCTTTGACCAGGAAGTTGCCTTCACCAACATTGACAAGGACCTTATGGATTACATTGCTGATGTAAATGTGTCTTTAAACTAATATATTTCACATATTAGCTGGATTTTTTTAACAATAACGTGGCTTGTAGGTCTTCAGAAGCTCAGAAATTCTCAACACAGGAAAGGCCTTCTTGCGTCAACTGCTGTCTGGAGTTAATATGCGTCATATGCACCCCATGCTTCTGTCTGAGGCCAGACGCGTCCTGCCCACTACTATTGGTCTGCCCATGGAGCTGAGTTTTTACACTGCAGCTGTGGCTGGGGCCTCTGTCAACAGTAAGACTTCCCTCACAGACTCTTTTATTTCAGTGTAGACTGTGTATAAAAAAAATATTATATTTTTATAGTTCAAGCTACTGTAACACCCCCTCTACCTGAGGACTTCCGTCCAAGGCAGCTTCTTGAGTCTGACATCAACCTTAGGGCTTCGATCATTCCAAGGTACTCTAACACACCTCTTTTCTTCTCTTTAAATTACAAAATAAAAGATATAAATCAGTGTTTATTCTTTGTCACAGTGTTGCCATGCACACCTATGCTGTGATGGGAGTCAATACACACCTTGTCCAGGCTGCTCTGATGTCCAGGGCAAAGATCCATGCAGTTGTTCCTGCTAAATTTGAGGCAAGACTTGACATCAACAAAGGCAACTTCAAGCTGGATCTGCTGCCAGCTGAGAGCATTGACAAAGTCGGCTCTGTACGGTACGGAGCTTTACGTCTGACCTCTCTCACTATATTGATTTATTTCTGTTTGTGACTAAGTTTCATTTTTCTTTTTTTTCTTCTACAGTGTTGATACTGTGGCTGTTGTCAGAAACGTGGAAGATCTCAGAGATGCCAAAACCATTCCTGTGATCCCAGCTGACCAAGCAAACAAGGGCTCCTCAAAAAGCTCCTCAAAAGGCTCCTCAAAAAGCTCCTCCAATAGCTCCTCAAAAGGCTTTGTCTCCGGGGGCTTGGTAGGTATTAAATGTCTTCACAAGTCAACTAAACACTATTCCAAAATGTCTGAGTGACATTTTTTTTTTAAATTTCCAGTCATCAGAGCTGCTCTCCTCTGTCGTGTCACACAAAATGACCAACAAAATTAGGATTTCAAAAGCCTATGAGAAGAAGATATGTGGCTTATTTGAGACCCTTGGATTCAAAGCGTGCACCGTGATTCAGTCTTATAATGCTCAGTCCATCAATGACTCTCCTTTGTACGCCACGATTGGAAAACACCAAATTTTTGTTGAAGTTGCCCGAGGTATGTATACTATATACAGTTAGTTGGTGACTTTGAGCCTTGCAGTATATTTCTTTAGCATTATTAATTATATAAGCTGATCGTAGTTTCATGATTTAAATATTTAGACAGTTTAGACAGAAAACAAAAAATGCCAGTCACTACTTCATCCTGTAGAGTTACTCACTCTAACATCTTCTCACACAGCATTCTTAATGCTCTCCTTTTACTTTTTCAGTGTAAGAGTGTTAGGCTCTTTTCATATTTTCGAAATCAGCTGGACACATGTATTCAGTTCAATATTTATTACACTGAACGTAGGTTTGCTTAAATAAGAAATAATAAACACAGCCTGGGTGACTTGGATAGGCCACATGATAACCAGCCTGGTATGAAGTCCAACCTTTTCCTCCATATTGGAAAAACAAACATCTATATACAATTAAAATATTGATATGATAGATTAAATTAGTCTAAGTCTAAGACAAAACAAAATAAAAATAAAAACAGTGAGGGCAAGCTGTCAAAATATAAAGAAGTTGAACAGTTGGAGAGATCTGTATACACAAATACAAATCTATGCCATATACATGAACCATGCCCTGTCATCTTCTCTTTCCACATTTTGATGGTGTGAGGGAGCTCTTTCCACATTGTTATAGTTCACATAAATCACTAGTCTTAGCATGGCCATTGTTAATAGATTTGCATTTGTTTGGCTGTAGTTGGTGAAAGTCCAGTGGAGAAAATTGAGGTTGAGATTCAATTTGGAGACAAAGCTGCAGACATCATCCAAAAGGTCACCATCACACAGGCAGAGGAGATCCTGGAGGACAAGAGCGTCCTGATGAAGCTGAGAAAGATCCTGGCTCCTGTACCAAAAAACACCACTAGCTCCTCCAGCTCCTCCAGTCGCTCACACTCAGGTCTAAGCTCCAGTGCCAGCTCCAGTGTCCTCCTCCTCAAAGTCCAGCAGCAGTAGCAGCAGCAGCAGCAGCAGTCAGGCCAGCCGCAAGTCTAGACTCCGGGTGACGCTCGACCAGAAGAGCAGCAGCAGCAGCTCCAGCAGTAGATCTTCATCCAGCTTAAGCTCCTCCAGACATTCTCCTGTGGATGTAAGTACTCATGATGAATAACCCATAGCATTAAAGTGCAAAAAGTTAACGTCTAGAATCAGTAAATATAACCTGAATTCAGATCTGGATTTGAGTAGTTTTGATAAGATTGAATTGCTTGTGAAAATATTTCAGTGGTTTATTTCCAACTAAATACAATATATAAATACCAAATAATTAAGCATGAAAAAGATTAAATAAATAATAATCTCATCATCAAAATAATAATAATACCCTTTATAAGTAAAATAAAGAAGAAATAAGAAGCAATTAAATCAAGTTAGAAACATTTTTAAACAACTTAATTACTACTGCTGAAATTAAGATCAATTCCGAATTCAAGTAATTTTAATCTATATATGCAAACTATAAATTTTATAAAAATTTTCATGTTTTGCAGCAAGAGATGTACGAGGTCAAGTTTAACAGGGATCACAAACACCAGGTGATTTTATTGGAGAGCAGATCTTTTGTGGCATCAGTTCTTTAACTTGAAAGTTGTATTAAAAAAAATGTTTTTGTGTTCATTTACAGCATTCTCGCGCCAGTACTCATCAGTCCCGCCAGAGCAAGAGTAGCGCACAGAGTTTTGAGGATATCTACAACAAGGTAGAGTGTAAACTTCTTTTTCATTGCATTTCAAATTAGTGAACACAAGAAGAAATTTATATACATAATGGTTAGTAAAACTAAAAAATCTTGTGCATTTCCTTTTTTAGGCCAGATTCCTGTCAAATACAGTGGCACCTAGTCTGGCTATTGTCATCCGTGCTAAGAGAGCTGACCACAAGACTCAGGGATACCAGGTTGCAGCTTACGTCGACAAAGACAACAGGAGAATTCAGATCATCTTTGCCAAATTGGCTGATGCCGAGCACTCTGTAATTTGTGCTGATGGTGTCGCTCTGAGCAACCACAAACTGATGGTACCTCTTGTCTTTTCTTAAACTGTTTCCCATTTGAAAAACTATCATAACATGTTTATATTGTTTTATGTTTAGGCCAGAGTTGCTTGGGGTCAGGACTGTAAGCAGTACTCCACCGACGTCGTTGCTGAGACCGGCCGAGTGAATGAAAACATGGCTCTTCGTCTGAAACTGAGTTGGGAAAAATTTCCAAGAGCATTTAAACACTACATCTCCAAGTAAGACAATATTTAATTTCAGTTTACTCACTTTACAAATCTGAGAAAATGTGTGCCTTACTAAAATGTGGTGCTTGTGTTCAGGATGTCTCGTCTTGCATACTCCCTTCAACAATATGGGGCCAGCATTGCAAAGACCAGAGAGGTAGTTAAGCAGATGAAACTCACAGTGGTGCTTGCTTCTGAGACAAAACTTGATATTCTGCTGAGGACCCCAAAGGTACAATGTCTACTTTTTATGACATGATATGATATTATATTATATTATAAGGCACATCTGTTGTTATAAATGTCACTACAGAAACTCATCTACAGCCTGGGTATACGTCTTCCCTTTTGCCTGCCTTTGAAAGAAACAGCTTCTCAACTGCAGTCCTACAACAACTGGGCTTCAAAGATTGTCTACCTGATTTCCAGTGGCAACAACAGTAAAAAAAATAAGAATAAGTGTTTGCTTTTATTTTAAACTTGATGTAAGAGTATTAACAGTTTTCTGTCTTGTAGTGACCTGTACTATGAAGCAAAATGTCCTGACCAGTTTCAACAAGGCAAGGTGTGAAAGCTCCATGCCTAAATCCTGCTACCAGGTTCTGGCCCAGGACTGCACTGAGAAACTCCGTTTCATTGTTCTAGTGAGGAGAGAAGGCCCACAGGCACAGCGCGAACTCCGTGTGCTCATCTCACACTTGTAAGTACAACTCTGACCCTTCTTAACATTGGTTGTAATATTTTTGTTTTTACTGGACTATGTCATTGCAAAACCATTACAATGGGTGGGTTTTCAGATTGTAAAGTGCCATAGTCCAGTCAGCTTTTCCTTAGTTAGATTGTACCTAAAAAGTAAATTCACAAATGTTAAACAGACCTGAGACCTCAATATGTCCTCGATTGTTGTTGTCCATTTGTCCTATTAGTGCAAAGAGGTTTTATTCCAGTTTCTCAGTCAGCAACATAATTTTCACTTTTTTCAATTGTTCTGGACAGGACTCTAGACATTGCACAGAGGAACGGCCATGTTGTGGTAACAGTGAATGGAAAAGAGCAACAAGTCACAGAGGAGACTCAGTTGGCCCCTGGTATGCCCAAAACCTCCTCTTTTGTTGTAATATAAAGCTCCAGAATTACTAATCCTGTTTTTATTTTAGACGTGAAAATTAAACGCGAAGCCAATGGTGTGGTTCTCTATGCCCATGAGCTTGGTCTTAAGGAACTCTACTTTGATAGTCAAATCCAAAAGGTAAGGCTGGGGATTGATATTACTACTACAGACTTAAAGGTGCTCCATGTAATTTTGTGTCCACTGTATGATTTGCCTGAAATGTTCCACTGTCTGGCAACATGGCAATCTATCATCATAACAGTATATTTTTTCAAGATGTATGTATGGTTATCATTTTTTTCAGTTGAATATCTGACAGCTCAGTACATTTTAATCCTGTACTGTGGAACAATCCAGGCAAAGCAATGACATCTGTGATGGCAAACAGTTGACGGACCCCAGTAAAATTTCATACTGCTCTTTTAACAATGCCTTTTCATCACAGGTTGTAGTTTCTGACCTCATGAAGGGAAAGACCTGTGGCTTGTGCGGCCGCGCTGATGGGGAGTATAGACAGGAGTATCGCACACCTAGTAACCGCGTTGTCTCTGATGCTGTTAGCCACGCCCACAGTTGGACTCTGTCTGGTAATACCTGCCGCAATGAGGAAGGTTGGTACTATTGAAGTTGTAGGCACTCAAGCTTAACTTTCAACTGGAGATATATATATATATATTTTTTTTTTTGTCTAAAATCTAAATTCTAAAATTTCAAACTTGAATTTTTATACTTTTGAAAAGGCTTAATAAGCAGTACTGATTTTGATACCACAATAATGAGTTAAACACACTTTACTTTATAGAACAACACAAATTAGTAGTTTTGATTTTATATTAGATCTATTTCAGAAGTATAGTAGAGCAAAACCATACTAAAAGTTTCAGGAAATGCCCATTTTTGTCCTATTTTTTCAGTACTGATACTTGCACAAATTAATATCTATCTTTAATATTACTTTTCAAACTGATTAGTATCTGGATATGTATTATTATTATTATTATTATTATTATTAGTTAATACAAACCTACTTCAAAATGCTAATTGAGAGAAAGTGTGGATGCCAAATAATGACTGAAAATTTAATTCCTTTTGGTTTTTCAGGCTGCAAGCTTCAGCATGTATCCGTGAAGCTGGAGGGGAAGTTCAGTCACTATGGCGTACCTTCAAAGTGCTACACAGTTGAGCCAGTTCTGCGTTGTATTCCTGGCTGTAACCCTCTGAAGACCAAAACCATCAGAGTTGGCTACCACTGCATACCTTATGGTGAGTCACAGCATCAAATTTCATGCTTTTTGCAAAGGAAACAAAACATAACTGCCATGTTTATTCTCTGGTGCAGATTCAAACCTGTCCTCTGCAGACAATATCTTCAACAAGAGTAAGGATCTGGAGCTGGACACAGTCGCCCACGAGGACTGCCAGTGCACGCCTCAGTGTGCCTGATCTTACTATCTTGTCTGTTAAGTAATGTTTGATCAATCACTTTGTTGTAAATTTAAATAATAAACTCCTGAAGCAAGACAGACCTGGTGTGTGTTCATCTTTATTACGGACTCATTTTTTAAAACAGACAAGAACAGTGACAATACAAACAATAAACAGTTATGTTTTAAAAAGATAGTCATACCAGTGACTGATTCTCATATTTGTGAGTGACATTATTATTTAATTTTTTGATTTATTCATCTTGCAAATAAAACTGTACATTAAAGTTTTTAGTACAGCTTAATGCAGATGCACTACAAATTTTTATAGGAAGGGGAATATACTTTATATAATGCACAAACACACAAATCAGGAAGCCATGTCACAATGCTCCTCTTTCAATTCAAATGTCATATTCATAAGTTTCACATAAAGTGCATATATACACAATAGTTTATGGTTTCAAAGGATTAAAAATGAGAATATGTTACAAAATATGTTTTAATGGAGGTATTCTGTATTCTGTAACTCAATACATTTTCACAGTATTTTTCCCATCACTGGTGAATGTCTCCCAAATGCAGAAATGTTTAGAGAACTTTTATATTTACAAATGTTACAAATATAAATGCACCATAGACAATGCAAATCTTTACCATCACTGGTCAGAAAAGTTGCATCTTTTATTTAGGAATAATTTTACCAACTCAGTAAAGGAAAACACACCTGTAAAACCTTTTGGTAGTTTTCAGATTGTAGTTTGTGATGATGTCATACTCCCAGATGGGGGGCAAGGGCTAGATATTCTTAATAATTACATTGTACTTGTAACATGAGCCCTTGGTGAAACCATTTTATTTATGTATTTATTTATTTATTTTCATATCCAACCAAAACCATAGAATAAATAAACTGACATATTTCACATGTACCACAGGTTGAGAAAGATTTTGTACAGTCAGTCACGTCTTTGCTCCAGACACAACTAGTCCCTATAAAAAATAAAAAAAAGTTTAATAAAGGAAAGTCCATAAACATCAACAGAAATGAGAAAAGGAGAGATCTGCTCACAGAGACACACTTAGACAAGGCAATTTTACCTACATTTTACCTACTGTACTGTAAACATAAAAACCAAAGAAACATTTTACATGGTCCAGCTTTGGGTTCCTGTCAGTATTTATGTGGACATTATTTTATAGTGCGTTTGTCCTGTCTCCTTTTTATATTAATACTATATGCTTTCATAACAAATGTGTTTTATTTTATTTTATTATTATGATTATTATTTTTCAATTTAAAAAGTCTTTCAATTACATAACTAGTTGCACCTTTTCTCATTATATACATCTATCTATATATATATCTATATGTGCCCTCTTAAAAGGCTGTAGCACGAAAAAAATTTAAATCTGCAACTGCCGTCACTGCACTGGCTGCAGGCAGTTCTAAGAATAAAAAAAAAAAATCTATATGTAGTATAGATTTGTTTTATTATTTAGCATAAAGGCATGATGTGTCTATAACGTAATCTATAACATGTTCACTGACCATGATGTGCAGGCCATTTAAACTTCATTGTAAACTTACTGACTGGGTACACCACTGCACTGCCCAGATGTAATGAGATGACAACTATACAATGAGCGCACCCATAAGATTTTACTTTTAGTGTCCATCTACAGACAGCTCTACTTCCATTAGTGAACACACCAGAACTGACAAGTTTGTGGTGTTTGCTTTTAGGAACACTTATGGACAGAGGTCAGTCCACTCCTACCTCAAACTCTTTGGTTTACTCAAAGTTAGGATGTTAAGTCAAATTAAATGTGGCAAAAAATACGTCTCAGCCATTTCAACAGGGCTCAAAACATAAATTTTAATTTTAATATTTTAACTTTTCAGTCCAGATCTAAAATGTACTGGAGTAGAAAGTACAGCTTTCAAAAGTTAAATTAAGAAGTATCCATTGTAAAATGTACTTTAAAAGTACAAATATCACTTCTATTTTGTGCTGCTGTCACTGGCTGTTAACTGTGGAGTATTATAGTGCTATTGACATTGTTTGCTCTTTTGTTATTATTTATTTATTTATTTGCCATATTCTGCAGCTTGTTTCAGTTAAACTAAGGTTGTGAATTTTCAAGGATAAATACTGTGATAGTTTTATTGCCGTTAAATAGATTTTAGCTATTGAAGACACTGCTATATTACAATCAATCTCAAAATCTCAAAATTAAACATATCTGTTTTTGCAAGTCACCTCTTTAATAAATAACATGATGACTGCAGGTAATATACTTTATACTGCAATTTATATTATAATTTTTTCTATAATGTCCTAAAACAGGGTGCCCAACAGGATTCATTCAGTTTTCTTGATTTATGCTAAACATCACTCATATCAACAGTTTTTGTATATGCAATTTACTAAAGGGAAAGGTTGTTGAAATTAACTAAACAAAACTGAAATAACTTTTTTGGCTTCCGACTATAGCTGGAGGTCTCAAACTGGGCACTAACAAGGTTTGATGCTGATGCCAAAATGTCATCTTTAACCGTGTGAAGTGCAAACTGTTGTGTTGTCATGACAAACTGGTTGTGCTGACCAGACCAAACAAAATGAGCAAACATCTGCAGTCAAAGTGCCGCAAACTCTGAGATTTCATCACCACAGTACAGTGACTTGTACAATATGCAGTGCAATATGTAGAATTTTTATTTCTCAAATTAGAGTTAAGATAAGTAAAGTTAGTGAAGCAAAAAAATCAATGTCATGTTTTTTACACTATAATTTAAATGCAACATAATGTAAAAGTATTCAGAATACAGTACTCTGACTGGACTGTGTATCACAATATGTTACAAAATACATTTAGGTATTTTTCTTATTACTGGTGAATGTCTTCTAAATGTAGAGATTTTTGAAGAACTTTAGCATTTGCAAATATGACAAACACAAATGCACCACAGACAATACAAATCTTTTATTATTTATTATTACACTCACTGATCAGAACAGTTGCATCTGTTATTTAGGAATAATTTTTTACAGATTTTAAGAGTAAAATATAATTAAGCACATGCATTGAGAAGGTTCAGTAAAGAAAAACACACCTGTAAAACCTGTTGGTAGTTTTCAGATTGTAGAATGTGATGATGCCATACTCCCAGATGGGGGGCAAGGGCCAGATATTCCTATTAATTACATTGTACTTTGCCATGAAATATCCAAAAAGTAAATTCACTATTTTGAACCTGGTATTTTCAATTATTGACTAAACCCAAGAACTCTATATTCAGCCATAATTTTGTATTAACAATATTAATTTTAGCTGGTTCCTGCTGTGATGTCATGAAACCCAGCAATACAACAAGGTCTGGATCAGTCTCAACAAGAAGACAAACATACAAGAAGACTACCAAGATTTGGACAGATAATATTTTAAATAATATTTTTGAGCAGATACAGTCTGGTCAAACTAAGCCCTTGGTGAAAGCATGATATTTTTTTATTTTTAAATTTTTCAAATCCATTCAAAACCATAAAATTAATAAATAAACTGGCACATTTCACGTGTACCACAGTTTGAGAAACATTTGTGTACAGTCAGTCGTGTCTTTGCTCTAGACAAAATGAAAAAAATCTTAAAACAGGAGCACTAGTTCCGATAAGAAAATTTGGGTTTTTAATGGAAGAAAGATGACACACAGTAGTTTTTTGTATTTTATTCTCAGTAACCAGGCTCTCTTATATGAGAGCTTGTTATCAAGGGCCCTTTCTGTCAAAATAAAATAAATAAATAAAACAAATATACACAAAATATCTATTTATAAAGGGTATTGGTAATGGGGAAAGGCAATGCTGAACTGACATTTGGCCTAGCACACAAAATCAGACAACCCATGTCAGGTGACCCTATCCTGCCTTTATTCATATGCCAACAGTTTATCCATCCGATTATCTGATCAAAGGTATTGATCCAGTGCATGTGTGATAGTTACCACATTTAGGGTCGTTATGACATGTTTGATAAATCTTGTCAGCACATTTTCCCTTTAAAAGGAGAGCAGGTGACTGCAGATCTTCACAACCCACTCAGCCATGAGAGTCGTTGTACTAGCCTTGGCTCTAGCCCTTGTGGGTAAGTTTCAATAGCATCTTTTGCTTTTCATCAAGTAGCTTTCGTTCATTTACTCTGTTTTACTGTTCTTTTTAACTTCTTTTCATGTTATTTTTGATTTTATAATTGCAAACAAACTTTAAATTGTCATTGAACATTTACAGCTCTAAATTGGTAGCCTAAACGTACATAAGAATAATATATTATTTTCTTTCCATGCTAGCTGGCCAGCACGATAACTTGGGTAAGTCATATTAATTAATAACAAAGTGAAATTATAGCAGAACACTTCTATAAAACTTATGTAAATGTCTTCTCAGCTCCTAGTTTTGCTCCCGGACTAACCTATGTGTACAAGTACAATGCCCAGAGCCTGGGAGGTCTGTCTGAACAGCACCTAGCTAAAGCCGGACTCAACTTCACCAGCAATGTCAAGATCAGTGTTGCCCAAGAAAACGTCCTCATGCTTCAGGTAAACCAGGAAATAAATGAAGAGTGATAACTATCAGGGGAGTATGCAAAGTGTGTTAACAGCTAAGATAACTTCTAATGTGTGTACTGTGGAGGTCTCTAGAGCAGTCGAGGTCGGACACAGCACGTAGTTGAAATCACTGCATGACAAGAATGAGACAGTAGTTTTTAGGGGCAAACACAGAAGGCTTGTTAGCAAAAAAAAACTGCTATAGAAAGCTGATGTTAAGAGGTAGGAAATTCAGCAATTTCTTAACTTCACACTTTCAGTTTGTTCTTTGTTTTTTGCATTGTAGCTTGAGAATCCTCGGATCTATGAGTTCAGTGGTGTTTGGCCAAAGGATTCCTACGTACAAACTCACCTCCGTGCCGACCTGGAAGCTCATCTCAAAACCGCCATCAAGTTCAAATATGACCATGGGATTGTGAGAGAGATCCTGGCCCCAGAGAGTGTCCCCATACTGCTGCTCAACATCTTTAGAGGCATCCTCAACTTCTTCCAGCTGAACATCAAGAAGTCACAGAATGTTTATGAACTGCAGGAGGTCAGGCACAACTAACAATGGAAGTAGAAATCTGTAATCTGTACTCAAATGTTACTCAATTCAAGTAAAACTAACAAAATCATTAATTTATCACAACACATACTTTCTGTCCATACCAGCCTTTTTAAATACTTGTTATTGTTTACAGGAGGGAGCCCAGGGCGTGTGCAAGACCCAGTATGCCATCACAGAGAACGATAAGGCTGAGCGCATCCTTTTGACCAAGAGCAGGAACTTGAATCACTGCCAGGAGAAGGTCATGAGGGATATCGGGTTGGCATACACTAAGACATGGCATAAGTGCCAGGAGGTAGGTCCACACCATTTTAGATATCTATACAATGATGCATTTACTGAGAACAACTGTTTTCAGATTTCCAAAAACCTGAGGGGAACCACAGGATACTTCTACAAGCTGAAGGCAGCCCCAGGCGGCTTGATCATTGAGAAGGCCTCCGGAAAGGAAGTCATTCATTCAGTTCACACCTTTTAATGACCAGAATGGTGCTGCTTCTATGCAGACAATGTATGACTATACTGAGCACATGTTTAGCTATCTCAGGGGCTGACAGATTGACATTAATGCTGTTTGTCCTTTTCAAGCCAAACCCTGGATTTCATTGCTGCCATCAAGGCTCCTATTGTTCCCATCAGTGCTCCGTACCATCCACGTGGCTCCCTGAAATATCAGTTTTCCACTGAGCTTCTGCAGAGCCCCCTCAGGATCCTTAAGATGTCAGACGTGAAGGAACAGGTACAGTTTTGTCTAATAATAAAAACAACAGATTTGTGACACCATGCGGCATGAGCCTTTAATTTTTCTTATGTTTACAGGTTGCTGATGTTCTGAACAACCTGGTTGTCAATAACAGAGACAAAGTACATGAGGATGCTCCTCTCAAGTTTTTTGAGCTGATCCTGCTGCTGCGTGCTTCTGATTTGACTGAACTGCGCAACCTGCTGACTACCTACAAAAGCAGACCTCTTGAGAGGTGGGTCAATGACAATAATTAAGAGGATTTGTGAATATAAAATCTTAATAATGAAATGAATAGGCGGTGGTTGATGGACGCCATCAGCAACACTGGAACAAAGGCTGCTTTGGAGATTGTCATGGCTGAGATCCAGAAGAGAGAGCTATCTGTTCCTGAAGCCGCTCAAGTTTTGATTGGAACTCTGCACATGTTGAAGCCCACTGACGAGATCATCCAGAAGGTTTGGGTAAGTGAGCTCACAGAATGGACTGTATCATGGCTCACTGATCAGAGAAAGTAACTCTTTATATGACTTTTATGTCCTACAGAGCTACATTGAGCAGCTCTCACAGGAACAAGGACGCTACGAACAAGTTGTGCGCAAAGCTCTGTTCCTGGGCTATGGTAGCATCATCCACAGACAGAGTGTTCAGAGGGCTGAGTGGAATGATCGTGACATTCAGGTAGATTTGCAGTATTTTACTATAGCATTTAATTAGATAATATTATGTAACAAAAATAATATGTATTCATTACAAATCCTTTCCACAGCGCATCCAGTCAGATTTTGAGAGGGCCTTTGCTGAGAAAAACACACAGGAGCTTGTTCTGTTGGCTAAAGTTATGGCTAATGCTGCTCAGCCTTGGGGCTACAAACCTATTACAAAGCTCCTACCAATCCATGGCACAGCTGGTGAGCAACTGTCCCAATCAGTTCACATTGAAGCCATCCTGGCCCTGAGAGGCATTGCCAAACAGAAGCCCAAAGAGGTAACTCTTCACTATGAGATATTCACTGTCTTTTGTCTTTGAAGAAAAGTCTTTTCAACTATTGTCTTTTGTCAATAAGGTTCAGAACTTGGCTCTGCAGCTGTTTATGGACACAACTCTGCAGCCTGAGCAGCGTATGCTTGCCGTCATGACACTCTTTGAGACCAACCCTTCAATGGCCGTCATGACTAATGTTATCAACGTTGTCAAGTCTGACAACAGCCAGCCAGTGATCAGCTTTACTTACTCTCTCATCAAGTCTCAGTCCAGAAGCACAGCTAACCCCTCAGTGTAAGAGTCATATTCCCCTACACACAGCAGCATGTATTACCACATACAAATAGGTCAAAGTTCTCACAGAAATTTTTTCTCTAACAGGGCAGCTGAGGCTAATATTGCTCTCAGACTCTTGGGCCAAAGGAGACAGAGCATGAAGCTGAGCAAGGCTTTCAAAGCGGACTTCTACAGCCGTAAGACCTCACTGTTTATACAATAATTTTGAAGATACTGGTTGAGCTAATATTTCATTTAACTAAACTTTGTATCAGATCCTCTGATGCTTGGTGCTGCTGCAAGTATTTATTACATCAATGAGGCTGCTACCATCCTCCCCAAAGCGGTTATATAGCTAAGACGAGTGCCTATGTCGCTGGAGCTGCTGCTGATGTTTTTGAGGTAAATTGAAAAAAATATAAATATATATTTGCAGTTTGTGGTAAATGTCCAGTTAATAAGTAAACCTCTTCACAGATTGGAGTCAGAAGTGAGGGATTCCAGGAGTACTTCCTGAAAAAGGAGAGCTCTGATGTCTCTGATAGAACCACCAAGATGCAGCGCATCATTAAAGCTGTAAGAAGTTAGCTTACACTAACCATAAACAGAAGCAGGAAATGGTAAAATAATGCTTTTGTCAACAGTTCACCAACTGGAAGTCTTTGCCAATCAGCAAATTGCTGGGCTCTGTGAATGTCAAGGTTCTGGGACAGGAAATCGCTTTTGTTGACATTGACAAGCAGCTCATTGAGGAGGCAATGAGGGTAACTTAAAACTTATCTTTTTATTGTTGCTCTCTTTTATTAATACACACAGTGATTCATGTCATTTGTCTTTGCAGATTCGCTCTGAAATTGACATCAAGGAGTATGGCTTAAACTTACTCCGTCACTTGTTCCAAAATGGTGTCTCCGCACACTTGGTCAAAGCAGTGATGCCCGCTGAGATCAGACGTGTCATGCCTACTGCCGCAGGCCTGCCAATGGAGCTTGCCTTCTACACTGTTGCTGTCACTGCAGCAAATGTCCAGGGTAGGTTAAGGGGGAATATGAAACTACATTACTGAAAAAAAACAAAACATATATATATATATATATATATATAATATATATATATATATATTGCAGCCAGATTCCAGGCCAACCTTCCACAGAACTTCCATGTTTCTGACCTTCTGAAGCAGAAGACCAACATTGAGGCTGACATAAAGCCAAGGTAAGAGGTACAATTCATATATATATATATATATATATATATATATATATATATATATATATATATATATATATATATATATATGTGTGTGTGTGTGTGTGTATATATATATATATATATATAACACATATATATATGTGTGTGTGTGTGTGTATATATATATATATATATATATATATATATATATAATATGATATGTATATTTTCATAGCATGGCCCTCAACACATTTGCTGTGATGGGAATGAACACTGACATCGTTCAGGCTGCCATAGTCTCAAGAGCCAAGGTCCAGGTCAACGTGCCCGCCAAGATAGCTGCTTCTTTGGACTTAGCTGAGAACAACTTTAAGATCAGTGCTCTTCCAGTTCGCCTCTCTGAAAATGTTGCAGTTGCTGTTGAGTAAGTTTAGCTTTTCAAATATGCACTTTAGTCAAGAATATATGCGACTTATAAGGTATTTATACGTATGTCTGCAGCGTTGATACTCTGGCCATTGCAAGACAGGCCAAACGGGTAACCCCTCTGATTTCCCGAAGATGCTTCTCCCCAAGCATCTTCCGAAACATCTTCATCTGCTAGCGCCTCCAATGTAAGTCTTTACATTAGCATTTTATTTAGCACATTGGTTCTCAAATGTTTCATAGCCTACCAAAACAATATTTGTACAACCAGATCCAAACAGGGACTATAACAGGACTATTCCAGGTCTAAACTAGGTCTGAACCTGGTCTAAAATAGGAAGGACTACATTAATGCTGTTGTTTTTTAAGAGAATTAACCCTAAGAAATTGCTCAAATATTGGAGGCTATCGAGGAATATGCAAACATACAGATGAAAATATGTTTGAAACAGGATTCTTTTGTGGTTTTTTGTGTTTATTTCAGTCTAGGGAGATACTGGGTAACATGCAGCAAGTTCAGGACAGGCCCCTTCCCACGACAAGAGTTCCCAGATCTGACAAGAAGTTCTGCACTGTTACTGCTGGAGTGAAGATCTGCATCAACATCAGCTCCAGCAATGCCAAGTTCATCACAGATTCCGCTCTCTCCAGACTGGCTGGAAAGCACGCTGTTCTCGTGTCTGTCGAACAATGTAAGCCAAATTCTAATCAAATCAGTTTTAACTGTTGCAAAGTTGTTCACCTATTCAACTATTCAAGGGGTTCAGCTTCTGAACCTTCAGCTATATGCAACATTTTGAGGAGTTTTTCCCATTCAAAAAATTGTTAACTGCAACGGCAACAGTCCTAATTTTTCATAATTCTGAAAGGGCCTGTAGAGGGCAGCAAATCGAACTGTGCTGTACTTTAAATAGAAATATGAAAAGTTGTTCTCTCATAATATTTGAATGGAAGCAGTAGTCTTGTTGTTTGGTTAGATACTGCAGTTGGAACAAATTGGTGGAAGTTCAAAGAAAAGCAGTGCTAGAGATACTGACTCCAGGTATTATTTTTGAATAAAAAAAAAAAATATATATATATTATTTATTATGTTTTAGCTGAAAGTGACAATGTCGAGAAGTGGGAAATGGAGCTTCAGCTTGGAGCCAAGGCCGCAAACAAGCTGATCAAAAACATCAACTTGGACATGGATGAGGTCCTAGAGGGCACACCTATTCTGTCCAAACTCAAGAGAATCCTGAATCCAAGCATGAAAAACAACACCTCCTCTAGCTCCTCCAGCAGCTCCAGGTCCAGAGTTCGTAGCAGCCATCCTTCCTCCTCATCCTCCTCCTCCTCCTCATCGTCCAAGTCTCACATGGCCGGTAAAGTTATCAGCACCATGGGCAAAATCATCGGGGTTAACCAAAAGAGGAGCAGCAGCAGCAGCAGCAGCAGCAGTAGGAGTCAGCAAAACCGCAAGAGGCAAAGGTCCACTGTGTCCAGCCTGAGCTCTCTGTTCAGTGCTAGCTCCAGCTCCTCACAGTTTTTCCCCAAGTCTCAGGTAAAGACTGGTTCTGTATTGTAATGTTTTTAAATGAACTCTCACAGACAAATGAGTGAGGAGCAAGTAAGGGTTTATTGAAGGAATAAATTACAAGATGGGATAGTGGTAGTTGAAACTGCAAAATAAAGAGGGGTGTAAATTTATGTTTTGATTGGTTGACAGTTATAGACAGGTTGAATGTAGTTGTAATTATACAAGCTTCTTTTTCTTGCCAGCGCCAGAGCTCTCGTTCCAAATTCCAGCCAAACCACCAGAAGACGGTATGTTAACTTACATCAAAATATTATTCTATATTATTCGACAATGGATTGATGTATGGAAATTATTTCAAGGTTTTAATTTTATTTCAATCTGTATAATATATTTCACAGACATCCAAGCGTCACTCAGGATCTGCCTCCTCTGCAAGAACCTTTGAGGACATCAGGAAACAGGTATATTCATAATTTATTTAATATTTGTTTTACTTTTTAAATTCAATTGAAGTAACTAAAAATTACTATTTTTTTCTCTCCAGAACAAATTCCTTGGCAATACCGTTGAGCCAGTTTTTGCACTGATCCTCCGTGCTGTCAGAGCTAACAACAACAATCCACTGGGCTACCAGATCGCTGCCTATAAGGATGGAGACAGAGTTCAGATGATCATGGCTGCCCTGGCTTCTCATGACAACTGGAGGCTTTGTGCTGATGCCATTAAACTTAGCAAGAACAAAGCTGCTGTAATAAAATTACACAAGAAGAGATGATGCTCAAATTAGCTCTACCAGTCTATCTTAAACTATATATGCTCCCGTTAACAGGCTAAAATTGCATGGGGAGAGAAGTGCCAGAAATATGAGACCATGATTACAGCTGAGTCTGGCCGTGTTCAGAACAAGGGACAATCTCAAGATGCAGCTCGTGTGAGAGTGGCCTGGAAAAGACTGCCCACTGCTGTTGTCAAAGATGTCAAAATGTAAGTTCATGCACAAATATTTGTTAAAACACATATTCGGCCTTATAGGTGCATTATGAAAATTTTGGGGGTAGGATCCATCAACTGTTTGTATCCATGGAGAACTTATTGCTTTGCCTGAAATGTTCCAAAATATTGCATTAAACTTGAATAACTCACATTTATTCAATTCTGTTGTCTTGAACAACATGCATTGAAAACAGGGTCACTTATCCAGAGATCTGAACTGTAACTTGGTCTAGTAGTGTCACCTGCCTGATATAGATGAGACGTTCCAGCAATAGCATCACCATGGAGATGAGTGGACGACCTTCCACGAGAAAAATTATTCAGCCCACGTTTAACAATATATTGAATTTATTTTGCAGGATCTACAACTCCATCATTGCCCCTTACTTGTCTAGTGGCTATCTGCAGAAGAGATCAGATGCGACCAGGCAGATTTCCTTCACTGTGGTTGTTGAGTCTAAGAAACAGCTTGGCTTTATTTGGAAATCACCAGCAGTAAGGCCATTTTAAAAGTTCAGTCTCTTTAACCCCTATTCTATATCAAAAACTTATATTTTCTTGTTCAAACAGTTTGTCTACAGGAGTAATGTGCCTCTTCCCATCACTCTGCCAATCGATGAGCTGAAGGAAGTGCTGCCATTTGATGAAATGCTTGACAACGCTCACTATCTGTTGGCAAAGACTACTGGAAGTAAGGCTTAGTAAAGCAATATGTGTGAGTACTTTATATATTTCATCTCTACAAAATTAACTAAATGTTTTGTCATCTTTGTTCAGTTCAGTGCAGATTTAATGAAGGACAGCTTACCACTTTCAGCAAAAGACAATACAAGAACTACATGCCAAATTCTTGCTACCAGCTGCTGGCTCAGGATTGCACCGATGAGCTTAAATTCATTGTTTTGCTGAAGAAGGATAGCGCAGGCCGTTACATGGTCAATGTGAAGATTGGTACAAGGTAAGGATACCTAAAAACTCTACATGAATGTCTGAGGACAATTAAAATATTATGATTTCCCTTTTAGGGATATTGACATGTTCTTTAATGGAGAAAGACCAGCTGTCATGATCAATGGAAAGGAAATTGCCAGAGAGCGCTTGCCATATGACAGAGGTCTGAGCTCTCACTTTTATAATAGTAAGTTAATAGTTTTAATTTGAATAAACTTTTAAATTTCCTACAGATTCAGTGACGATTCTGCTGATGAACGGCAAGCTGTTTCTCCGTGCTCTGGACTTTGGCATTGCTGAACTCCAATTCAGTGCATCAGAAGTGACGGTAGAGTATTTTAAAATTATATACAGTATATGTATATATCATTTGGTATGATATTAAGTTTCATAAATCACTTTCTACAAAGATCAATGTTCCAGAGTATTTGAGGAACAAAGTCTGCGGTCTCTGCGGCCAAGGCAATGGAGACAGGAGAAACGATTACCGCATGCCCAATGGACGTATCACTGATAACCCCATCAGCTTCGCCCATTCCTGGACTCTGCCCTCTCAGAGTTGCAGCGATGAGACTGGTGAGAGAACAGTGTGCAGTGACTAAACTAGCATATTTTCAGACTGAGGTTAACTTAATGTTTTTTTTTCTCAATCAGAATGTCGTTTGACTCATGAGTCCATTGAACTGGAGAGAGAAATTAACGATCACGGTGTGCCGTCTAAGTGCTTCTCTGTGGACTCTGTGCTGCGCTGTCGCCCTGGCTGCACTCCCACTAAGACCACCATGTCCAGTGTGAGCTTCCACTGCAGACCCCTCAGTGAGTGTCCCCACATCACAGCAGCATCACTCAACCATAGAGCCAAATGTGCTGATTTTGTGTCTTTGTTTTGTGCAGATGACAACAGCCAAGTGTCAGATATCCGTAACCGCAGCATTGACATGACTGAGTCCGTTGAAGCCCATCTTGACTGCAGTTGCACTTCTCAGTGTGCTTAGATCTTGTCATCTTATATTGTGTCTATGTGTAATTTTAACTAAATAAATGAAGGCATCTCAAAAGACAACTGAAGGCTGTTTGTCATTTTCTAAATATAAAAAACACCAATAATTTGGTTGTACAACAAAAACTTGTTCTTAGCATTCTCAACACAGGGTACGAGCCACCCTGAACAGAAGGCTTTGATTGGAAAAAAGGCTTTATGAAATGTCACTGTCTGTAATTGTCATGGTATAGTAATTTTAACTAAACAGATTGCCTGGTATTATTTGTTGTTGTACATCAGAGTAAAACATAAACAATATCTTTATTATAAACTTGTTAACAATAGTTATTGTGCCCTATTTTACATTTCAATACAGGAGGAGTACCAAATGACTGCATAAAAGTCATCATCAGTTAGTCAGAACCTGAATTGATAAAAACATAGAGACCATAACTAGACATAACTAGAAACCAGTCCCACTCTCGGTGGATCATTGTATCCCAGTTTGATTCCCAGTTTGGTTCCCAGTTTGATTCCGGGACTAGAGAGACAGATCATAATTTATCCCAGATAAAATTTTTAGATAGGTAGATAAGATTTTATTTTTTTTTTTTTTTTTTTAAAGTGACAAGTTATTTTGTGAAACATACATAATTTTGGGGCCATTACATTAAAATATTTTAAAATAGCGACAAATATGTATTCTTGATAATTTTTTGCATAGTATGAAATATGTCAGGCAGTTATGTAAAACAAGGGAGTTAAACTTAATTACACCTGTGTCATTTGGCAATATCCTTGGCCTTTTTTTAAATTTCTTTTTGGCCTTTTTACATTTTTCCAACTTGACTTCTACTATTACAACTGTGTCATTACATTTTTTTTCTATTCTGTGGAGGCTGGTCACTCTCCATCCAGAGAGGATGATGTCACTGTCCGTCCGGAGAGGACGATGTCACTGGGAAGTCTTTGGGTGTGGAAGTGCCAGACAAATCATGAATGGCATTTTCTGCAGATGGTCCTGGATTTGTTTCTGTTTCAACTAAAATAAAGCAAAAAAAAAAAAAAAGAAAAGTGAACAGGCTGAAACTATTATCAAGAAATAACTGATCAGATTAACTGCAAACCAATAATTTAAACACAGAAAGAATACAAATATGAATCTATTGTTTTAACTCTATCTATCTAATCTATTTTACCTATTTTGTAAATTGTAAATTTGTTGTGATATACCAGGAGATAAAAATTAAATTTTATGTAATATTGTTATTAGTGCTGTCATGCGATTAAAAAAATTGAGAGATTAATTAATTATGATCTGTAATTAATTCATCTAATTAATCTCACCTAAAAATTGCTGAGAAAAGCCTTCAATTTGAGGTATTTTCATTTAAATTCATTATTACATTATTGTGGCAGATCAAAAGACTGATATAGATTAAAAAAAAGTGACTTTATAAAGTCATTTATTGTTTAACAAATCTCTCCAAATTGTCTGTTGAGCCCAAGTCTCCATGAATAAGAAACTGTTTGCTGTAAAGCAGCAAAGACGAGGAAATCTGAACATAATAACTTTTGTCTACTTAAAGACAATAAAAAGTCCAGTCTTTCCTTAACCATATTAAAAATATTATTGATAGAGAAATGCTTTATATATGAGATCACTGGTTTTAGTCCTTGTTTTAGTCCTGGTTTAGACCTGCTTTAGTCCTAGTTTAGTCCTGGAATGGATTAATCCTGTTTTAGTCCTGGTGTTAGTTCTGGTTTAGTCCTGGTTTAGACCTGGTTTAGACCTGGTTTTAGTTCTGGTTTTAGTTCTGTTTTAGTCCTGGTTTAGTCCTGGTTTAGACCTGGTTTAGACCTGGTTTTAGTTCTGGTTTAGTCCTGGACTGGATTAGTCCTGGTTTTAGTCTTGGTGTTAGTTCTGGTTTAGAGGCGCACAGGAGGAAGCGCGGTTTACGCAGCGTACGCGAGAAAACACGATCCACACGCGGCGCACGGGAGCACGTCGGTGTCCGCGAAGTAACTACGGAAGGAAACGTGGTCCGCGCGGCGAGAAAACACGATCCACACGCGGCGCACGGGAGCACGTCGGTGTCCGCGAAGTAACTACGGAAGGAAACGTGGTCCGCGCGTTCTCAGGGTTAATGACGATGATGAAGGTGTGTGTTTGTGTGTGTTTGTGTGCGTGTCCCCTCATGTGGCAGGTCGCTATAGGACAGTAGTGCAGACATCATGAGCCTATGCAGGTTGTTTTCACCAGTGACATTTAAGTTGTAGGCGATTTTATATTTGTTATTTTCTTTTATATTTCACGTCGGGAGAATAATTTCCTAGACACGAATGTGTTTTTACCTGTGCACTGCTGCCTCTGTTCTACTGGCTCTTCGACTTCGTCCATTGTGTGACTGACGTTTACATCGCTCTTACTGCGCGGGTTTTGTGTGGGTTTCCGGCAATGAGTGGAATTACCGAAATAAAAAAAATTATAAATGTGTTTTTTGTGTGTGTGTGTGTGTTGTTGTTGTCCCAACAACACATAAAAACAGGTTTTATAATAAAGCAACTCGCATACAGAAACAGTAAAGTTAGAGATTAAAAATGAGATTAACGCGATTAAAAAACATAACGCGCTAAATATGACTGTAATTAATTAATCGCAATTAACGCAATAATTTGACACCCCTAATTGTTATATGATGAGGTGGTATTACATGGCGTGATCTACTGTTTTTGTGTAAGTCTGACTGTTTACTTACATAATGAAAAGGCACTTTTTATTCTTGATATTTGAGGTTTATTTGAGTCAGGAAATGGACTCAAATTTAAAAATTGGTTTTTAAGCCACATTGCACGATTCTCCTCAAAAGCTCTCCTCTGCAAATAACAGGATTCAATGAAAATTGGACAATATAATTGAAAACAGTAATAGATCTGTAAAAGTGTGTTAATTCTGTGACATACTACCTCATGACTCAGTCTGATGGCCGCTTCAGTGAAGTTCCTTCTCTCTCTGTCAAAGATCTTTCTTTGTTCCTCTAGAGTTTTCCACTCCCCTTTGAGCCTCTCCATTTCTTGCTGCATGTAGCAGTTATTTAGTAAAGATGTCACTTCATCATCACATGGAGAACTCAGCTGTCGCTACAAAAAGACCATCATAGATTAAAGCCCAGCATGCCTTAAGGGCATTTTTATCATTATACAATAGGAGTTAGCCCTACCTGCAGGAGCTGTTGTTGTGTTTTAATATAGTCTTTGCATTGTTGAATCTCCAGCTTCAGTTTGTGCATTTCCTCCTCATGAGTTTCTCTTGATACAGAATCATTACTGCTTCTCTCACTCATCTCGACCAAGGAAGCTATTATATGAACAATACGAAAAGATATTTAGCATAGTGGAGAGGAGACTAACCCACTATTACTTTACACTGGTGTATATCTTAGAGTTACTTAGATTTAGACAAATTTTTTAGTCCACAAGGGAAATTATTTATGCATCACACACAAACGTGACATACCTTGACTGTCTAGTCTTTCCATGTGACTTTTGAGTTGTCTCCACTGAAGGCGAATGCCATTGGTCAGTTTTTCTCGAGCATCATTACTAAAAAGCTCAACACTGTTTTTGGTGGAATCAAACATATCTTCCTCCTCCTCCTCCTCCTCCTCTTTCTGTGACACATGAGTGAAAGAAGCTAAAACCATTCATTCATTCATGATTAGACAAAAGAATATATGTCTAACCTGAAAAGTTTCATATTTGTCATTTTTAATTGGTTTCTTTGATTTAAGAATGGACACCATGTCTTTCTTCATGTGCTGCAAAACTTTCTTCAGTTCAGCGTTTTCCAGCAATAACTCTCTCTGTCGGCTGTCGTAATCAGTTAGCAGAGTTTTGTACATCTCTGCTTCGTGTCTATGAATGATACAGACACAGACATTAAACAACACACTAATATCACCACAATTTTTTTTTATTAGAATATTAAATAAACTGTATAACTAATCTTAAGGTGCATTATGTAACTTTTCTGGGAATGGTAAGCCTTTTGCAACCTCCGTGTTTCCATGGAGGTGTTATTGTTGTGCCTGGAATGCTCCGCAGTATTGTGTTAAATTATCTTTATGAAGATTATTAAGTATGGGAATAATGACATCAGGTCAATTCAGATCTGTGTAGATGCAAGGTGGCTTACCCTCCTCCCAAAAAGTGACATAGTGCATTTTAAAAGTATTATAACTCACTTGACTTCTGTCTTTTCTGTTTTCCAAAGGCTACGCTTCCCATCTGCACGTCCAATGCAGTTTAACACATCAATAGCTGAAAAAATAACATAAAACTTAAATAATCAAACAAAAACATAAGGCTAAGAAAAAATAGATACTACCCGACCATGTTTTCGGTCCTTTTTATCAGAAAGAAGCTGATTCATGCGCTCCTTCAGTTTGTTAAATTCTCTTTCTTTCCTCTTCATTTCATGACTGTACTGGCCAGCTCGGTTTGAAATTATATTCTGAAGTTTTTGCACCTGATACAAAAGAATCCTTTGTTATGTTCATGTCGTGTAGAAGTGATATCTGTATAATAGTATAAATTGAACCAGTTACCTCTTCTTTTTCATTTTTCAGATAATTTTGCAAACTCTTTATTTTAAGTTGTAGTTGACGTTCTTTCTCGTGAAGTCCAGTGTTTTCTCTTTTATAAAGTTCAAGTTGCTCCTTTATAAACAAAACAAAAAAAAACTTGTTGAAAAAATGTTTTGTTTCAGTTATCGTAATCATGTGAGTAATAATACTTGTATATCTGTACCTTTAGCTGAGTGCTTGTGAGTTGCAGGTAGTCCATACTGCTGTTGGATTTAAGCTGCTCTACTTCCATGTTTTCTAGCGCTCGGAGATCTTGATGGTGTAGCTGAATTAGGTCATACATACAGTTCACCACAGCCACAACATCGAGCTCTGACTGCCCAATGGTCTCGGACCATACTGGAGACATGCCTAAAGATGACAGTTCCTGCAAAAATGTTAAAAAAGTGCATATGACAGACTACTAATTTTACTAAAATGTAAATAACATGATTCACTACTTTAAATCTTTCTGGACATGGCGAAGATGTGACATGAGTAGCCATGATGCAATGAGATATAAAAATGTATACCAACCTGGGTAATATGGGACAGACATTCTTGAACATTCTCCTTCGTGCAGAAAGAGGAGCACATAGAGTTTCTGTGCAGCGATGATTGGTTAAACAGCCTTTGGGGAGATGCTCTACATTTAGCAGCACCACAGTGGCTGTCCTTGAAATCTATCAGAAATCCAACAAAAATATTTTACTGTCCTACCTGTACAACCTCTTAAAATTATAGCGATATAGATATGGTAATAATTAGCTTTACTTACCCAGAAATGACTCAGGCATAGTTGCTGTGCAGTCAGCTATGATTCTGGTTCATGTGCTAGGTTCACGTGGACTGATTCAAAATCCACAGGCGTACACCTGCTCCTGAAATAGAGGGTCAGATTAGCAGCACTCATTCAGTTCCATTTAGTATTAACCCAATGGGAGTCTGTAAATGTAAAATCCGGATTATGGTTTGCTTGGTACTAATTTAAGATTAGGACCAGTAGACATTGTCATTTACAAACAAAAATAGAGCATTGTTAGGATGTAATTGTATGTTTACATGTGAGTAATAGTCATAGGGGACAGTTTTAACATCTTATCTAAAGACTCTTATCTTAAACTGATCAGACTAATCCACAACACACACAGGGTGACAAACAATGCAGATAGACTTCAAGTAACAATTGAAAAATGTATTAGCTATATGCAAATATGAACTGTAGCCTACTTATTCTGCAGTCTTTAAAGGTCCTATGTCGAATCTTGTGAGCTTTAAGACATGTTATAATGTTGTTACCTCATTAAAAATATACCTAGAGTTGTATTTTGTTTCATTTTCACATGTTTGAGTAACCTTTTATTATGAGTCTGCCCACATCTCCAAAGCTCAAAATTCTCTGTTCCACCTTGTTCTGTCATGAAGCAATAGTTTTCAAGTTAATAGCTACATTTTACCTTTAGTTCAATAGAGATGGGCAATTCCAGGGCTGAAATTATCCAAATGATTGTAGTGAATATGTTTGGAGTTTAAAAACACAGTGGAGCACTTCCCGTATTAACATATGACATCACAAGGTGGAACAGAGTGTTTTTAGTTTGAGAGAACTCAAGAACACACGCCAAGGCTAGTAGTGAGTGACCAGCCTTTAGGTTTCAGTGACACTTAATCAGTCTGGTTAAACAGATGGCAGCCTGCTTCCACAGATCTTAACCCCAGATATCACCAGCTTACACTAACTCTACAGGTAGTGGTGACCTTTCCTTATTTTTGGTCCACATACTAGCATATAATACAATATAAATATTCTTGTAAAATAGCAATACCTAACCTATATAAAATATTAAATTCAAGTCATAATCGATGTAGCGTAACATTACAAGAGTGCAGATGTTAACTAGGCAGGTGAAGTAGGTTAAACAAGAATACTCCAACGGGAACGTGCATCAAAATTATGCAGCTGGTGTCGCAAGATAGTGCGGCAAAACGCCAAGATTTATACGTAAACATCAGCAGCAAATTAATGATACGAATAACGTTTACGACACGTTATTACCTCTAATTACACAATCTGGCTTGACTCTCCAGTGTTACTGTCACCCGCTACTGTCATTGTAATATTACAAACACGTGTTACTTACTTACTTGAGGGCAGATAAAAGCATAAATCGGATCCTTGCTGTGGTGCGTTTTCTCTGTAAAAGCAAACCCCAATGATGTGTTGCTGCAAACGGTACATTCAAGGAACGCAACCAAACTGGAGGCTGATTGGCCACACGGTTGTTTAGCAACCAAACACGGTTCAATGTGATTGGCCAGTGATATGGACCACAAAATGCACAACCCATTTAAACTCTCTTTTATAATTATTAGATTTTTTATTGCACAGGTTGAGCAGAGGTACAGTAGCCTGGCTATTTCTCAAATGTTTATGAAAGCTGGAAAAACATCACATTACCATAGATATGAAAAAATAAATATACATAAAATTATACCCTAAAATTTAAAAAGTTGAAGCTTTATGTAAATATGAAATAAATAAATAAACAAACAAACAAATACAGGCCTACATGTACATTCTTACATACATAGGCTACATACATAAATTTATATTCTGCAATAAAAGGCAAGCTTTATCATTGTCTATCATCTAACATTTGATCTAGGTCTACAGTACAACTATGCAGAGGCTTTATTTCTTATTTACTAAAACCTCTTATTTGTTGTACTGTCTAGTTGCTGACTGGAACTGGGACTCCTTTTGATTCTGATAAAGTCTGGAGTGGATCGTTGTGAATTTCTTTCTTAGCATCAAGCCACCATGTTTGCATCTCCCCTTTGCCCTGAAAGTTCAGAAAAAAAAGATGGAGGAACAAATCAACAAAAGAAAGGAATCGTGTTGCAGAACATGTGTGCCAACTGAATTTTAAATAAAGCTTTTAGCTCTGGTCAAGGAGCAGAGAGCAGCAGCTGAGGTCTCTTTTAACAAAACATCACAAGTGTTACTGTAACCCCTCCCCCGTGACCCAGCACCACCCAAACCCTAGGATTAAGTTACTGAGAAACTGGCCCGTACAATGTTAAAGGTAGAAAAGAAAAATAGCATGCACACCCATTCTTTTTCTCTTTTGTGGGTCATGCAAAAACTCATTGAGAATTTGAGGTTATTATACACCACTAAATAAGCAAATATATAAGTATACAAGATGCACCAGTAATAATATTACCTTCACATTGAGAGTTCCTCTACAAGTCAGGATGTACCCCTTCAGACAATGGAGCAGTTCTGCTGTTGTATCGCTCACCTGAATTTTAAGAGCTGGACCAAAAAGAACAATAAGAGATAATGTAATATAGTCACCCCCATTGCCTTAAGTCCCATGAACCTGACAAACATATCTTGGCAGCAGCTAACTAAAGAACATTGCAGTTATTTACTATTACCTTCACTTGTGGATTCCATGCGAGAGGCTGTGTTCACAGTATCACCAAATAGACAGTATCGTGGCATTTTTGTGCCAACCACTCCAGCAACCACTGGTCCTATAATGCAAAGTATAAGGGAAAAACAAGATAATATCTTTAAAACAGGGTTAAGTTGAATTTACACATCCATGATACCTGAGTGGATCCCTGCTCGTATCTTCAGCTGAGTGTTAGGTTTGTGGGGGATCTTGAAACTGTGACAGACACTGACCAGATCTAGAGCCATGCTGGCTATTTCCCCTGCGTGATTAATGCCATTTTCTTTGGGCACTCCAGAGACCACCATGTCTATGCAGACATTAATAATCCAATGTTACAGTGAAAGAGATAATAAATTTAACTATAACGTAAATATTGACTTACAAGCATCTCCTATAGTTTCCACTTTGTAAACGTCATAATTGTCAATTATATCATCAAAGGTGGTGTAAAGTTGATTTAAAAAATCAACAACCTGGTGAGGAGTGCTGGCACCTGACAGCTGGGTGAACCCTACAATATCACTGTGATGACAAAAACAATCAGATGAAAAAATGTGTCATAGGAAAAAGCTTCTAAATGATTAAATTCACATAATTAGATACAGTAATCAACCTGAAATAGACTGTGGCATTGTTGAAGCTTTGAGCCTCTGCTGTTCGACCTTGGCGTAAATCATCAGCCACTGGTTTTGGGAGCATACCTGCAGAGACGTTTTCAGTGAGGTGCATTTCTGATTGACCACAAGATGGCAGTAACTATCGCAGTACTACAGAAATGTTCAATGTGAAATAATTACTTTATGGCAAACAAAACTATGGTAATTTCAGCTGTTTGAAGTTTAATAGCTTACTGTACAGAAGTCGGTCAGTCTTTTGCTTCTCTTGCAGCAGGTCTTGTGTCCTCTCTGCGACTATGGCCTCCAGATGCTTACTATACTTCTCCATCTGTGATTAAGTGGAGTTTTAAGTTTAATAGCTTTTTTTGAGGGCTGTGATGTTGAACTGTTTTTGGCCTATTACCAGATTCATCATCATGTCCACTGGGCTGACTTTGTGTGGGTTCATCTTGTCAAGCATCTTTTTCACTTGCTCAAATGTGGGCCTCATGGTGATGTTATGAGACCAGCACTTCTTTATTAGCTGTTCAATATACAGTTGGTTTATATTATCATGGCTTACAGTGAAACCTCTTGTAACGTGAAACTCACATACATCACAATAGTTGGACTGACTCGGGCAGTCTGTGTCCGCCTTCCCTGCTTTGACTTCAGGCAGAGGGGGGCGCCACATTATATCTATCCTCACTCCCTCAGTCTGATCCTGATGGAGGAGGCTGCTTGTTACCCAGATCAAAAGAAAACTGAAGGTTGTAATCTATGGCAGCTATACTCACTGAAATGAGGTCAGAGCGAGTTGCAATCTCCACCAGAATCATGGAGTAGCTGAAGAGAGACGGAGGAAATGTATAATTTGTGCATTTTTTCAAGTTGCGTGCATTTAAATTGAGCAAAGAAAATCTAAACAGACGTAAAGTTGGACCATAAGTCCAAAAATGGTCAGGGTTAAGTTAGGATGGAGTAAAATTAGTAACTAAATGATTGCACATTAAAGGTACACTATGTATAACTTTTTGGTTCAGGGTCCGTCGCCTGCTTGTTTCTATGAATATGTCATTGCTGTCTGGAATGTTCCACAGTATGACATTAAATAGCTCTAGCTAACATTTATTAAATTGCAGGTGGTTTTATAGCTCAGAAATACTTATCTTTAATTCACTTTCATTCACAATGTCCAAAATATCACCATTGCTCTAGTGTGTGACCGTCTTTATCAAACCAAACTTATAAATGAAAAAGCCTAGAGTACTTCCATCTGCAGGTACCTGTAAACATCTGCGCCCTGAGTCATGTTAGAGCTGCTCCCCAGTAGGACCTCAGGAGCGCAGTAAACACGGTTAACATCACCACAGTTGAAACCATTGCTCACAGCCTCAAAGTCCCCTTTTCTGTAAGCAGTGAGCCCATAATCTGCAATCAAACAGGAAAACAGTCTGCAGATGTTGTTTATGTGTTTGATAATAACAAGTCAGGAGAGTAACAACTGTTTATATTTGGATCTCTGAGTAGTCCCATGAAATTCACCTGTTGCGATAAGATTGCATAATTATCATGCAATTACCTGAGATTTTGCAGACCCAGCGGTCATCAATCACACAGTTTCTAGAATGGAGTTTCCCATGGAACATTTTGTGTTGGTGAAGATAGGCCATCCCCCGGGCAACATCAGTGGCAAAGGACAGTCTAAGACAGGAAGGCTGAAACTCTGTATTACTATGCATGGAAAAGATCCATTATGCAACTTTTCTAGTGCAGAATCTGCCACCTGTTTGTCTCCATGCAGATGTTATTGCTTTGCATTGTTTCCATGGAGACATATGTTTTCAAGTTTTTTGGGGCAATGAAAAATACCTGCAAATTAATAAATACAAGACTAGATTTAAGATTAGTGCCATACTGTGGAACATTCCATGCAAAGCATCTCCATTGAGACAACCTGGTGGGGAACCCTCCATCAGAAAAGTTACACAGTGCAACTTTAAGCATGATTATACATCAATCTACCATACTCAGAATGTTTGTAGTAAAAGATGTGGCATTTTGACAACCTTCCAATTTCACAGCCCAGTGTGCAAAAATGTAACAATGATCACAATTTTAGCACAATCCAAAACAATATTGCCTATACAAAAAGGTACCAAAAAGGTACCACCAGCCACCAGCTAAGATTAAATCTATTATAAATCTACAATTGTACTAAGCAACAATGTGAAAAATATGTGTCAACATAATCACCTGAAGCCCCAGTTGATGGGGATGTCATCATTGAGCAGGACGTCAGACAGACTTCCTTTGGGGCAGTGCTCAGTGATCACACACACATATGGTACTTCAATGGAGCCTCCAATAAACTTGCACAGATTTGGGTGGTCCAGTTGCCTGTCCATTGAGTACACATGACAAACTGTACACCATGAGTATCTTACCCATTCCTTTGCACATATGACCTTACCTGACTTCTTTCACCTCTTTCCTGATGGTTTTAGACAAAGTAAAATGTTTCTTCTGGATGTGCTTCACAGCCACAGTCTTTCCATCACTGGAAAATGGTAAGTTAAAATTTTATTGTTCCCTCTTATAGAAGATTAATGTTACCTCTTAAAACACAGATGGCGCCTCCAAGTAAGAGAAAGGTACATTCTCAATACTACTACACACTCTGGTTTAGTTCTTGGAACAACACAACCAGAATAGCATTAAGGTTAAAGCTAAGGTTAGGTTGTGGTTAGGCTAAGGTTCATTTTTTATTGTCCCTTTTTATTGTATAGGGAAATTTGTCCTCTGCATTTGACCTCCTTGACATCCTTCAGGTTTTAACAGTTAAAGGTGCACAATGTAACTTTCCTAGTTGAAGGCTTATCCGTCTCTTGCTTGTAACCATATAAATAGATGAGGAATATTCGTCTTGTATTATTGGTACATGTATTTAGTTTGTCATGGATATCAGTAGATTATGTGCTACTTTGACATGTTTAAGATGTTGCTTTGCTGGCAATGTTCCACAGTATTGCATAAAATTGATCTGTTGAGAAACGACCCCACTTACAGTAAGAATGCTTATTCATGAAGGTATTTTTGAGCAATAAAAACATGTAAATGAAATAATGCAATATAGAGTTT